TTAAGCTCCAAAGACTGTCCACACCTTAGTGTCTAGTTCTTGGACCTTTAGGTCCTCTTTTTCCTCCCGTGTTCTCCCCAAGACATAAGAAGGGTCTCCCATATAATATTTCATAGACTCGACTGAACTATGGAGGCCAGTGCAGTGGGCAATATCCTGTCCCATTTTAAAGTGGTCTCTTGACAAATTTTGGCAATGGTTTTCTTTAAAGTGTGGGTCATCTTTTCTGTTTCCAGGTGACTGTAGTATCCAAGAAGTGTGGGTTTCCATTGTATTCCTAAGTGTCTAGAGACTTCCTGGGTTGCTCTGGCAATTAAGGCACTGCCATTGTCACTTTGGGTAGAAAAAGACTATCCAAATCTAGGGGTTTCTTTTAATAAGGCCTTTATTACTTCTGATGCCCTTTCTGATCTACATGGTAGTGCTTCAACCCATCTTTGTCAAGGTATCTACAAATACTATTAGCAGATATAGATAATTTCCAGTAGTTTGGGGCTTCACTGTCAAGTCAATCTGCCAAGTCTTATCCTGGGCCCAATCCTTAGCTGGCTTTGCACTCCTTTGACTCGGGGGGAGGTCCCACCTTTGGATTATTTCTGGCGCAGATGGTACATTTTTGAATCCCCTTTTGACTAGTCCTCTGCCTATGTGGCTCAGTGATGTATTTTTGTATCCATTGGAGTGTGGCATCCTGTCCATAATGACTGCTCTAGTGGATAGAGTCAGCTGTTTCTTCCATTCGGTGTTTAGGAATCAGAATAATCCCCTCTTCATTGCTTATCTATGCATCTTTCTGGTGTGTGGTGAAGCCGCACTCCTTTGCTCTTTCTAGGTCCTCTAAAGAGTATGCGAGCTGGGCCAGTGTTAAGTCAACGTCAGGAATAAGAGCCGCCATCAGGGATGTTATGGTTTCTGTTCAGGCGGCCAGACTGGAAGCCTGATCTGCTTTATTGTCCCCTTGGGAGATTAAGCCCTCTGCCCTCTGATGGCCTGGACAGTGCATAATGGTAATCTCCTGAGGTTCCATTGCTGCTTTTAGGAGATTCAGTACCTCCTGGGTGTGTTTAATTTCTTTACCTCCTGATGTTAAGAGGCCTCTTTCCTTTCAGACAGCCCTGTGAACATGGCCCACAGTAAATGCCTGTGTGGAGTCGGGGTGGATGTGAACTCTCTTCTCTTTTCCCAGGTGCAAGGCTCAGGTCAGGGCCAGTAATTCGGCCTCTGGGTTGAAGTACCAAGGGTCTTGTAGAGGGCATTGTTTTGGATGAGGGACGGTTGCTCCTGTCCACTGTCGTATTTGGATTGGGGTTGCTGTTTTTGCCTTCCCAGGTCTGCCTTTTGTCCATACTTCCACACTTAGTTCTTGCAGGATTTCTTTGGGGACCTCAGCCAGAATTTCTTCGTGGGCGAAAGCCAGCAATGCTGCCTGTAAAGCACAAGCTTCTCCCTGAGGTACCCTAATATTGAAATGGCTGGGGGACAAAGGTATTTTGGCATTTAGTGTTGTCACGAAGTCCCGCCTTAAAAGTGGCACTGGGCGTTCTGACATGTACCAAGAAGCTATGTTAAGGTTTGTTTTTTTCTCATCTGGCAATCTAATGGCCAGAGAAATGGCATTTGTAGTGACTCTTGTAACACTCCAGTCATAAGCATTGTTTCGGAAGAGAATTGCGTCTATCTAGTATTTAATTCAGAATATGTGGCTTTGGTGTCAATCAAAACGTCAGTTAATTTCTTTCCAACCATTCGGGTGACGGGGGTTCCACGAGGGTGATGTTGAAGGAGCCAGTTGGGCTGATCAGAGCCCCAGGCCCTGTCACTCCTGGTCGCTCCGGGATAACTGGGGCATCTGTGATGCTCCTCGTTTCTCTTTGTCCTGTTCTTTGTTTACACGTGGGCATTCTTTTGTCCAGTGACCATCTTGCTTGTAGGAAGCACATTGTTTAGAGCCTGCTTTGGGGGCAGGTCCCTTGTTTCCAGGGGGCCTTACCTTATCCGTTGTCTTCTGAGGCCCTCTGGTGGTCAGAGCAGCAGCCAGCAAGTCAGCCTGTTGCTTCATCTTGTTTCCTTCCTCCCACCCACTCCAGGCCTGTTCTCTGCTATTGAAAACCTTACAAGTAATGTCCATCAGCTGTGACATAGGCATTCCAAAGGCACCCTCAACCTTTTGAAGCTTTCTTTGGCTATCAGGGGCACTCTGCCCAATAGGCCATGTTCATGACCTTTAAATTTTCAGGGGCCTCTGGGCCCGCATCAGTATATTGGCTATACGCCTCAGAGACGCAGTCTAGGAATTCAGAAGGGTTTTCATCTGGATGCTGCTTTAGCTGCTGGAGCTTATTAAAACTTCTTTGTTTGGGCACTCTCTTCCTTAACCCAAGCAGAATGCATTTCCTGTAACATTCCGGCGTGGGCTGATCAACATCGTTTATATTCCAATGTGGATCAGTGGTAGGGATACCAGCATTGGGATTCTTGGGTTTCCCAAGATAGAAATCGAGAGGAAACCCTGGAAAAATTTCCAGACAAAGTTTTCTAAGCCCACGCTCCAGCACAAGGAAGGTATCACGTAGGAGAGGAAGGTCCTCTGAACTGACTCAGGGGCTGCCTCTCTTTGGCTGTTTTTATAAGCTGGAGACAAAAGTGGGCTTGCACGAAAAGGCAGGCTTTTTGAAAGTGGCAGGCTTTCTTTACCAGCCATGATGCCTTGTAACCATGTTCGAGCTCATTGCTAGGGAGCAAAATGGTGGACTGCTCTTCATCGCCACCCCAGGAAGGTCATACAGCGGTCAAACCTTGATCAACTGTGCACTGGGGGGACTGAGTTAGACAAAGAGCTCCCCATGATAATATAGCATATAGAACTTTTTTCACAGTATTAATAACAAACCAATAGTCCTTTTTTTTAAAGAGAAAAACCAACATCTAATTTTGTACTAGTTTTCTTTTTTTTTTTTTTTTTTTGAGCCATCCCGCCCCCTGTTGGCAGCTCACGGCTGCTCAGCTCGGGCTGACTCGAACCACTGTTGCTCAGAGCTCAAACTCTTGAGCGAGCTCTTAACCAACTGAGCCACTCAGCCGGCCCTGTACTAGTTTTCTTGATGTTTTGAATTCACTTGATTAGATTTATGACAGTGTTACTGAGCTTAACCACACATAAATTTTCCTTTCTCAGGACTCCTTTTTCACAAACCTACAACTTTCCTTAGTCCCCTCTTTAATTTCTCTCTTTTTACTCATTCAGAAATAGCCATCCTAAGTTTACGACAAACCGCTTTCCTCTAATTCCTTAAAAAATATATTTCTATCCCTTATACCCTCTTTTACACAGAAGGCAGTCTACCACCAATTTGTGGCTTTCACTGTATGTGTTTTCAGTTTCTAATATGCAGGGGATTTCACACAAAGACCTGCTGCTTTTTGGTCAATGTAATTTTGATCCTAGAGGAAGTGATTGCAAGTAAGAATGAGCTGCTGTGTAAAAGAAACTTAGGGGTTTTAAGGTTATGTTAATCTTAACGTGAGTGTGTTTTTAGGAAGTTATCAACATCTTAAACTGTGTTAATGTCTCTAGAGTCTAGAATGTATGCTGATTAATTCACAACCTGAAATAATTTTATCAGGATAACACTTAGGGCCATGGGAAAGAAATGTAATGAGTCTACATTAATATATATGATGTACTTTGTATACAGTTATACAATAGCCATTTTGTAGGCTCTAGCTCATGAATTTTGTAAGTGGTTATAGTATGTCTGGATTTTTTTGGGAAAGAATAAATTTCTCTTCACTGGCAAGAGATGAGCTGCGAGGATGTTGACAAGATGGTGATGATGACAACAGACAATTTTTCAAATGATTAAGGGTGGGTACATTATCTAATAGGGCACAGCAAGCTACAGTCCACTGACCGAATCCTACCAACAGCTTGTTTTTGTATGGCCCTAAAGCAAAGATATTTTTTTTTGCATTTTAAATGTTTATAAAACAAAAACAAAAAACTAAGTTTATGCCACAGAGACATTATGTGGCTTACAAAGCCTAAAATATTTACTGTTTGTCTCTTCACAGAAAAAAAGTCTGCCAATTTCTGATAACATATTGGACCAATAATGATATGATAGAGTAGATTACACTTTAAAATCTTTTGCAACCAAGAAGATTGGGGACCAAGGAGAAGAAACAACACAAATAGTTCAATGTATAGAAATTATGTGATTATATTACAAATTAACTAGGCTTATATTCAAGATTAGGGTTCATATGGAGAAAATCACAATTACAATCAATTAGGCAAAAGGAGACCTATTTATTAAGTAAACTTAAAAGATATTTAGGATTAATGATAGGTAGCAATTATAGATTTCTAAATTAAAGCTAATTTTATCTCTTTGAGCATAGTGACTTGGATGGGGAAGTAGCCAGAAAGCATGCAAGGAAGAGAGAGGCAGGAAAAAACTAGTCTGGGACGAAGAAGTTACCATTGTATGAAGGAGACAAATACCAAGACCATCACTGATTATCAAAAGGGTTGTGTGTTACTTTCTATGCTTAATCTAACCACAAGGACAAGCTTTTCAAACTGCTTATGAAAGATGAGCCTTGTTAGTAAGGAAATAGCACCACCCACTGACACTGGTTTAAAATCATTTGTAGAGGATGAGGAGAATGGAAGACTGATGATTTACAATTTTTCTTGTTTATTTTTAGTGACTAGATGTGATTTTGGATTTGTTTCCCTTTTTGTGGCAATAGATATTTCGAAAGTTAATATAGCTTATTTTAGTGACTTTATTCTGACTTTTCTTTTGATTTCTCAATTACAAATTGCATAGTTAAATAAAATATTCTGTCTTGAGATAATTTTTATGCTTACCTTTCCAATTCCTCTCTCAAACTTTACACTATTGTAGGTATCTGTAATTGAGATGGCTCCATTTTGTTTTTACACATATTTGTTTATTTCTGGTTTGTAACTAAGTGAATTTTATTTTTTTCAGATGATTCTTTGGGATTGGGACTTAAAGCAATGGTATAAACCTCATTACCAGGTAAATGTGTGATATCACTAATAATATCTGTAACAAAACTTGACATTTACATTAAAATTACTTTCACAAGATTGCTGATATAAGATTTTCTTTAACCAGAACTTTCACTTAGGTAGATTAAAAAAAAATGTAATTGTAAGGGAAAAAGAAAATGAAGAGACACCAAACATGTATAGTTATTTTTAAATGTTGCTAATCTAACTTGGGCTAACTAATCTAGATTAATTTAATCTAACTTAGAATAAATTAATAATTCTATGTTAAGCATGAGATTTTTTTCCCTCTAATTGAGGGAAACTGATCCACACAGAAAAAAAAGTAGATTAAAGGCTATATATGACAAAAAGCAAGGCAATTGGCAAAATATTTTGTTGGGGAAGCAAAAACACTGTACTTAACAGTTTTTGGTAAATTTACTGAATTATACACACAGAAAAGTTCACAGCTCTGTGAATTTTCACCAACTAAACATCCCATGTATCTAGTACCCATGTCAAGAAATAACACATTACCAGCATCCCAGATGCCTCACTTAAACACCATTCTAGTTATTACTTATATCCCCAAAGATAATCTCTCCTGACTTCAAGCAATTTGTTTTGCTTGATTATGAACTTGATATATATCATGTATTTTTCTATTTTGCTTCTTTCAAAATTTTATCTGTGATATTAATACATATTATTGCACATAGGAGCAATTCATTCATTTTTATTCTATTTAATATTTCATTAAATGAATATACTATAGTGTATACATCCATTCTATAGTAGATGGACATTAATTTTCAGTTCTTTGGCTATTGCAAGTAATGCTGCTGGAACATTCCGTTTTTTTTTTAAATTAAAATTTATTGGGGTGACAATGGTTAGTAAAATTACATAGATTTCAAGTGTGCAATTCTGTAATACATCATCTACGAGGCTGACAATTAAGCTTGTGAACTCATTCTAGAAAAACTCTTACATACCTCATTGCTGAATATCACTACAGTCACCTTTGAAGTACTTCCCTTAGGAATCTGTGCACAAATGCGAGTGCCCAGTTCACCCTTCAAAGCAATTTTGGAATTCTTTTTCTGGAATGGCCATCAGAGTGTCATCATATTACCCTTGATGTCCTGAGTGTCAACAAAATGTCTTCCTTTCAATATTTCCTTGATCTTTGGGTAAAGAAAGAAGTCATTGGGGGCCAGATCAGATGAGCAGGGAGGGTGTTCCAATACAGTTATTTGTTTACTGGCTAAAAACTCCCTCCCAGACAGTGCCGTGTGAGCTGGTGCATTGTCATGATGCAAGAGCCATGAATTGTTGGCAAGAAGTTCAGGTCATTTTTGTCCAACTTTTTCACTCAGCCTTTTCAGCACTTCCAAATAGTAAACTTGTGTAACTGTTTGTCCAGTTGGTACAAATTCATAATGAATGATCCCTCTGATATCAAAAAAGGTTAGCAACAGTGTTGCAGCAAGTTTGTGAACTTAATTGTCTGACCTCCTAGCCTACTACACACTATACCACCATTGTATATGCAGTTCATGGTTGATTGAAACATCGTCATGAGATGCATGACTATACTCTCATTCCTTACTGGGCATGAGACCCCTTTCCCCAGTGAGAGACACTCAGTGGCCAGGGCGCCCAGCACAGGGGATACCGCCACACAAACAAGTGCTTAACCCAGAAAGTGCTTTTTTCCCTGTGGCCTAGAGACTCCCTTTGCCCACCTGGAGGTACCAGGTGACCCAACCCGAGGAAGTTCTTGCTCTTCCCTCCCATCCCCCCTCACCCCCTCATCCTACCCCCACCACCCTATCCCCCACCCCCCAACAGAGGTACCAGCAGGAACCCTAGTGGCACCAGGAAAAAAAAAAAGGCAACTGAAATACCACTGTGAATGCTATTAAAATTAAAATGTTATTAGAACACAGCCTGAAAAAAGTAGACTAGGACCTGTGTGCTAAATCTAAACAAGCAGACCACCTCCTAATATAAAAAGTTTAAATAGGACCCGAGTCTTCTAGCATAATAGCCCAAGTGCTGATGATAAAATTAAAAAATCACCTGTCCTACCAAGAATCAGGAAAATCACAACTTGAATGTAAAAAGACAATCATTGTTACAACCAAGATGAATCAGATTTGGAATTATCTGACAAAGGAATTTAAAGCAGCCATTATAAAAATGTTGTACCAATCAGTTACAAATTCTTTTGAAACAAATTAACAACATAAAAAAATCTCAGCAAAGAAATATAAGTTATAAAAACGAAACAAATGGAAATTATAGAACTGAAAAATACAATAATGGACGTTAACTTGATGAATGGGCTCAACAGTAGAGTGGAGATGACAGAGGATAGACTCAGTGAATTTGAGTATAGAGCGATAGAATTTACCCAATTTAAACAACAGAGAAAATACATGGAAACAAAATGAATTGAGCCATAGCGACCTGAGTGACAATAACAAAAGATCCAACATTCATATCATAGTATCTGAAGAGGGGAGAAGAGAGTGGGTTTAGAAAAAGATAACTATTGCATTGTTCTGTACACCTGGAACTAATAATAAAAAAACAATTAAAAAATTGAAGAAATAATGGCGGAAAACTTCCCAAATTTTGCAAAAGACATAATTCTACAAATTCAAGGAGCTAAGTGTGTACCAAACAGGACCAACCTCCCCTCAAAAAATCTACTCAAGACATGCCATAATTAAACTTTTGAAAACTAAAGACAAGATATCTTAAAAGCAGCCAGAGAGAAATGACACATTACCTATAGGGGAACACCAACTCAAATAACAGCAGATTTCTCATTTGGATAAAGGAAAATAGATGCTATTATATATAATTCATGGCAGTATAGATTTGTCCAGCCTATATGAAAGCAGGTTTATAGTAATGATCGAATTTTAACATGTTAATTTACTTTGGTTCAGTAATTCAAATTACTGGAAGCTGTTTAGCAGAAGTATGCTTAATTATCTACAGTGATATGCAGAGGTATTTGTTTATAAACCTAGAAAAAGCAGGGCTATACCCTAATAATGGGGACTGTTTTAAAATAAAAACTAATACAAAATAATAGTTCACAAGTGAAAGAATAAAGAATTTCACAAAGAGCAAAGACATTTAGCTAATTAGTGGTCTAACTTTCATAATATTTCAATTCTAAAATGTGTTGAGAATACTTAATAGTGTCATGGTGAAATAATTAAATACTGAATAATTATGAATTCCAAACATACTCAAATGTAAATTCAAGGTACAATAAAACAAAAGTAACATTTAGTTCATTGTTCTGATTATCAGTGCACTTATTTCTTTGGGTAACTGAGTTGAACACAATATATATGTATTTTCAAAACTTAAAAATCATATATGTATATATTAATGACATGTTTATTTAAAAATTTAAAAATATATTTCTACCAATTTTGGGGGGGCCCATCCTGATGCTGTCCTTTCCGTGAAGTTTTTATTAACCATTCAATTTCAAGTTACAACTATTTCCTTTGAACTCTGATACTATTTTTCTTGTATTTTTATGTCATCATTTTCCATAATATTAACTGTAATACTGTTATATATTATACTATAAATATATGCACCACACATTGCTTTATGTGTTATCAGATTTAATTCTCTCATCAGCCCTTAATGAGGTAGGTGCTATTATCCCCATTTTGCAGTGAAGAAACTAAAAAGTTCGAATGTTAAATGTTGCTCAAAGTCATACAGTTAGGGTTAAAAGTCATCTTTCAAGCTCATATCTTTGCAGCCAAGCCTGTCACTATGCTAGACTGCCTCTTAAGTGAGTAAGGGAAATGAAAAAAATGCTGTATGTGTTTAAAAGAAATTTTGACATAAAGGAAAGGGAATCATCAATAAATTAATGAAATGTCAAAATTATAGATTTCAAAATAAATACAAATTTAGTTTTATGTTAGGTATCAAGTCAGTAATGAATACTGTTAAATATGATAAGCTAATGATAGAGAAAAAATTAAAATTCACATTATCTGCTACATCAGCATCAAAAGTGAGAATTATACCATTTGTTGTATCATTGATGTTATGTCCAAATAAATGAAAATTAACATTTAATAGGATTAAATTACTTAGATATTGTTACATAGACCTTGATTTAAAACAGAGTAAGTTCTTCTTAAATGTTGAGTTTCCTGTGTAACAAATATATAATTTTACTTTTTTTTCTTCCTTTTCTAGAATCCTGGAGGTGGCAGTGGAGTTGATCTCTCAGTGCTGAATGAGGCTCGAAATATGGTGTCAGATCTTCTGATTGACCCAACCCTCCCCCCACAAGTCATTTCTTCCCTGCGGAGCATCAGTAGCTTGATGGGTGCTTTCTCAGGGTCCTGTAGGCCAAAGATTAATCCTCTCACGCCATTTCCTGGATTTTACCCCTGCTCTGAAGTAGAGGACCCAGCCGAGAAAGGAGATAGAAAACTTTACAAGGTCAAAATACAGTAATCAGCCAGCCCTGTTTATCACATTTGATATTTTCAAATTTAAACTGCTCTTTTAAATCTTAGATAAATGAGAATTTCTTTTTCAAGGATCAGCTGCTTTTACAATATAGTGAGCTGCTAGGGCTTTAGAGGTAGTTATAATCTCAGATAATTCAAAATGAGTATTCAGTTTTTATCCTAAAAGACATTGCTGTAATTAGCAGTTACACCTGCGTCAGTAACCTCTATTTATTGTTGTTGCTTTTGTTTTTGAGAAGTAGAAAACAACAAGCAAATTTAATTACAGGCTTGTACAACAAACTAGTAGTCAAATCATGTTAATAAATTTTTTTCTTTAGAGTACAGGAATTGTTGAACCAAGAAGAAATGATCATTATAATGTTCATTTTATGAATTACATAGCATTACATATTTTAAATTGATTTTCACTTTTTTGAACCTTACTCCCCCCCCCTCCCGTTTTTTTACCTTCTGTAGATTGCTATAGCCCAATAGTTATTGCTTTTTCCATCATTACACATAAGATTAATTTCTCTTTAAATATTAATGCTTCAAAATAGGATTTCCTTTAGAAAATAATGTTCTAAATAGACATACATTATGCTTGTCCACAGTGCTTTTAGTTGTTTTATATAACTATCAAAATTTTTACCAATTGCTAAAATCATAAAACTTTAAAAATAGAAACATTTTAGAGATTATTCTAGTTTACTTTATTCTACAGGTAAAGAAAGTAATGAAGAGAAGATACAATTTAAATCAGTTCATTTTGTTCACTCATAATAGTGTAGACAGAACTTAGAAAAAGTTAAATGTAGTTTTTGGAGGGATTCTGATCATCAATTTCAGTTTGTTCTTAGCATTAGGGTATAGAATTGTTGACAAATTAAACAAGCTCGCGATTAGGGCAAAAATTTGATAATTACTGATCACAAATATAGATCATAGGTAGTTTTGTGATGATTTCATTTTTGAAAAGTATATACACTGGCACCTTCATTAGTCAAAACCCAATTAACAACAGTACTTAGTTATAGGGCTTTTTTTTTTTTATTTAAGACTCTGCCTATGAGAAAGAGGTTTAATCACAAGCATCAAAAAGGGATAGCAATAAATTCACCAAAAAATAATTAATATATTCTTGAGTTAGTTTTCACTTGATATGTTGCTCTTCCTTTGTGTTTTCCATTGACATTTGATGTTTAGAATAGTAATTTTTAAAAATAGTAATTCTTAAAAATCTTAATCATAGAAATCATATTTATACTATTATTGGTCCCATGTTTACTGTTTAGAAAAGTATACTAGGACATTTTAGAAACATTTTAAACAATAATATTAAACAGGATGCCTAAATGCCTCATTTCCTGAGCATTCTAATTAATCGGATTTATTTTTAGTACTGGAATCTTCTGATAGAAGTAAGTCAACCAAGAACCAGGAAGTAACCCATATTTCTTAGTGTTCTTTGAACTGCTTATTTGAATTTCATATCTAATTTGTCCCTACTTTTGGAAAAGAATATATAAGAAGCCTAATGATACTTCAGAGAAGAACAACAGCATTTATAAAACAATGAGTAAGGAAAAGGGAGTTTGAACAGATAAGTAATGTAAATGTCTTATATATGTGTTAAGAACCAAGAGAGATTGTATGGACCTAAATTATAGCCAGAAAGGATTGTTACATAAAACAACAACAACAACAAAAAAACCTTTTTCACTATACGTTGAAGTAGCCATGAACTTTTACAAAATCATATCCTTGGGAAAACTTAAATATAAGAGAGATTTATCTCTCTGAGATGTTTTTGGTGTCTGCTGATAGGGGGAATACGTAAGAAGCAAATACTATTTTCTGTAAATTTCAGTGAAAACACCTATTCACAGAGGTAAAAAATAGAATATTTTCAAAAATTAGGGTAAAATATTATCAATGCGAAAGATGTTCTGGATTTAATTTATTAATTCAAAACATCTCCGAGTCCTGCAGTTTCTCCAGATTAACCTCTATGTACATTAACATTGTACTGAAAATATAAAAAGTTTAGGATATAGAGCTGATAGTCCCTGATCCTAAGGTAAATCTTTCATTATCTACTTTTTAAATTATCAATTGTTTATTTCTTATGAAACTAGGAGTAAAAATGTGCAAAAGAACAAAAATCTAGTTAAATTGTAGGGAGTTTACAAATCATGTTTTTAGTAGGGGAGAAATAAGAACAACAACAGTATAGAATGTGGAATTTTGAGTAAAACTGACATATTTTCAGAATAAAATGTTCTGTTTCTCCTGTACATGTTAAAAATAGACTTTGTGTTGATATATTTAATAATATACATACAGCATGTTAAAGGGCGACAATTTTAACCACCGTTAAATTATTCCACAGGGCCTAAGCAGTAGGAATAGCTTACCCACTCCACAGCTGAGGAGGAGCTCAGGGACATCAAGCCTGCCACCTGCGGAACATTCGTCAAGGTGGGAACGCAATAACGGCAGGAGGCCTCACCAAGAATTTGGCATTTCGAGGTAAAATCCCCAGAGCCTTTTTTAAAGAAACCTGAATCTGATACACAGTTTGAAATAGTTCTAAAAGCAGAAAGGAACAGTTGAAGTATTTTATGTACAGGACAGCATTAGTAGTAAGTAATATGGCGTAACAGAGCCACTGATTCTTAGAAAGAAGCTACCATGTCTTCTCCCAAGACGTAGGTAAGTTGGGTACAAAGCACCCTGGGTCCTTTAGAACATGAGTCAGGGAGGCAGTTTAAGGAAGCCAGCATCGACTTAGGACAGGGTACTGAAAAAGCTTTTAAATTGGTAGAGGTGGCCATGACAGGAGCAGTCACCAGTCCGATGCACAGCACCTGAGGAAGGTCAGCAGAGTCACTGACTTGCGAAAGGAGGAGCACATGCTCGGGCTTCGTCTCAGATGTTAGGTATCTATGAAAGGCATCAGTAAGTACAACTAAGTGAAGCTGGGAAAATGCAGAAGCTGACATCTTCTGAATGTTCATACACCCGTTTACACTGATACAAAAGATTCACTATTCTGTCTTTTAAAAGCCAGGAACGATAGTGATCTTTTGTGTGAGTTATAAGCTCCTATTTAGTCTATCATCTAACTATATTAATAAAATTGGAATGAGTGTCAATTTCCTGTGAGACCAGTGTTATTACGGCGCATGCGTTGTAGTCTCCTTTAGCTTGAGCTGTGTAGTTACACATTTGAAACACTAGGTGGCAGGATTGGATCATAGCTATTTACCTGTTAAACTTCATGGTCACATTTATATATGAGGAATATCAGATAATTATAATTTCCCCGATTCTTTGGTAATTCAGTAATTTGAATCTTCTATAATACAAATAGGTGGACTCCTTTATCATTAAAAAAATGTAGTGAAATGATATATAAAACAAGAATGGATTGAAGTATGAAAAATACAGTACAGTAAAATGAGCTTTGGTCCAAAGCTCGCTCAGAGCCCAAGTATGATAGTTTTTTTTTTCTTTTTTTATTTAATGGAATTAGGACATGGGGAATTGGATGATGTTAGGAACTGAAAATATGACAAATATTTCTTAGCCATGGGAAACATCAGCTTGAGACTATTATGAAAAAAATGATGAAAATGATTCTGTTTTTTAATCTTTTTGTCACACTGATGTGACAGCAATACATTTGCAATTAAAGAAATGTTGCTACATTGACTTGTCATTTTTACCCTGTTGCCTCAGATGACTGATATTAAAAAATAAACACGGTCCAAAGAAAACTAATCTTTAACTCTGAGAAGTGTGCCTGTAAAGGTATATATAGGCAGATGTGATATATTCACTTAACTCTCATTAAAACAAAACGATAGACCTCATAAAAGACGTAGACGTTTGGAGAATAAAGTAATTGGTGGTGTTATGTAACATCTACTTTAAAGAGAGAAGACTAGAAGTAATTTTACTAGTGTGCAGAAAGAAGCTGGAACTTCAGTAATAAATTTCTTTGAACATAGGATAAGATGGAAAATATGAAGGACTATACTACAGCCACTGTTCCTTTTGAAATTCTAGTTTCTAGGTCATTGCTGTCCAAAAATCACAAATTTTTGTGATTATGGGAATAGTTTATATCTGTACTGTCCAGTATGCTAGTCCCTAGCTACAGGTGGCTATTGGTCACTCAAAATGTCTACTATGACTAAGGAACTGAATTTAAATTTCATTTAATGAATTTAATTAAAAGATAGAGAGCCATATGTGAATACCATATAGACATGTATGGCAGACATGTTAGACAGCGTAGCTATAGATCTTTAAGGTATGGTGATGTTTTGTTTAGCACAAAACTAATAAGACTTGTGCCTCTGGAATCCTGAGGCATTCATCTTGATTTTGTTAGAGGATGCCAAACTGAGATCACATAGCACAGATCTTTTGAGTCTTGATTTGAATGCAACTTTGGATTCTGATTGTAGCTTCCCTGACTGATTTTAAATGAGCCTGACTGCTTTCAACATGGTTTCGATATTGAATCTCTCATTTCCTGAAACTATGTCTGGAACCAAGTTTCTCATCCCTCCTCCTACTTCCTTATCTGTTACTGTTGTTCTGCCTTTATATCCTGGCACAATGCTGCAATCCTCTAGTTACCCTCAAATTTGCTTACACAATTGATTTACCAGGAAAACTTGGTGTTATCTTTGCGTCCTGTTGCCTTATTCTGCAGATTATCAGTTGTCAAGTCTGTCTCTGAATCTCTTTTCCTCTGTATTCCTTGTTCTCCTTCATCACTTGCCTATACTATTTCATGCTTTCATTATTCCTTACCTGGGCTATTGCATTACCCTCTTCATTGGTCTTTCCACGTATAATATCCTTCACACCCTGTTCCATCTTCTAACCTCCCACCAGAAATCTTCCTTAAACAAGACTTTGATTACATAGTTTTTCTAGTCATAAAGTTTTTTTTTTTTTTTGAGCCATCCTGCTACCTGTTGGCAGCTCAGCGGCTGCTCAGCTCGGGCTGGACTCGAACCGCTGTTGCTCAGAGCTCAAACTCTTGAGCGAGCTCTTAACCAACTGAGCCACTCGGCCGGCCCTAGTCATAAAGTTTTTGGACCTTTTACTAATACCTGTAGAATAGTACCCAAATTCCTAGTCTGGGATTTGGAGCCCTGTTATTCCCTCATGAACTCTTACTTGGAAAAATTAAACTAAAAAAACTAAAAGACATGGGCAGTACTGCAGAGAATGAGAATAGATAAAGTAATTTGGAAAGCTCTTTAGGTGAAAACAACAGTCATGTAACTTGTGTTAAACGCTCCCTTATTGAAGTTTTCTGATAATTTTAACTCCATTTGAAAATCAAGCTGAATTATACCTTACAGCCTACCTTATTTGTATAAAATGTAATATAGGATTTAATTTTGTCTTTCTTCATGCTTTGCCTGGAGAAAAATAGTGAGGTATTATAAACCTTATCATATCTATGATAAGAGGAATCTAAGGGAAGAAAACCACAGGAGGAAGAGTTATTCCTACTTGAACAGTCACTGTATTACCTACCCTTAACAGCGTATCACTGTTTATCTTTTAAAGGACCTGAGGTTTTAATTGATTCAAAGGGCCATTACTTTACAGCACCAAAATACCTCTCCAACATCATCTTTCTCTATTTAACTGAAACGCTGGCCAAGCTTAACTATTTGATAGTCCCTCCGTTTCTGCACTTCTGGGCCCCTCTGCAGTTGTTCCCTCTACCTGGAATACATCTTCTCACCCTCATTTCTGTCTTTAAAAATTTGGCTCAGATGTCATCTATTAAAAATAACACCATGACATTCCCAGCCCTTGATCTCCAAGGAAAAGTAATCTGTTTCCCCTTTGAATTGCAACACCATTTCTTGCTTCTTTTATGGCACTTTTCACTTTCTACCTTGTGTTCGGAGGTAGTACTACTCTTCTGAGGCCTGCTTGGTTATTGTGCAGAGCTTGGGATTGCACTGACGTGACTCTTTGAAGCTACTTAACAAGCGTCCTTCAGGGGCACGGTGTCCAGACTGGGTTGTGACCGCTGATTCTGCCTTCTGCCTCCATTTCAGACCTAGGGTGAAGTTTCTCTGGTCAGGAAGTTCTAGAAAAAGTTGAAGAATGCGTTTCTAGGTTAGCTCATAATTGAATTACCCACCTCTGAGCGCCAGTGTTCATGTTTATGGCTAAAAGAATGGCGAAACTGCTATCCTTGGTCTGGCTGCTAGGAACAGGCCCTCTCTGTGGACAAACAGAGCACATATTCAGAGCTCACAGCTCATGCCCTTTGAACAGTTTCCCTGGGGAAAAATAGGCAAATTGTGTCCCCAAAACTATAGATACTTATACACTAAAGAGACTTGCTCTTAACCTATTCTGATTCATCATTCATCTCTATAACAGCTCTGTAATTAAATCTAATAACTTGTTGCCTGGCAAGAGTATGTCCCCTAAGTAATGTATTTGGGAATCACCTTCACAATTCTGTGACTCATAATTTATTATACTGATTTATACCAATGTCTGGACCCTATTTGAACTACAGAAATCAAGAGGGCTAATGGTGTTATTATCCCACTCAGTTTCATAAGAGAATAGTTCTGTAAATCTAGACATCATACAGCCAACAAGCTTATACTGAGGTGATGCAAACTATGTCAAGGTAATTGGTACTGATTATCTAGAAATCAGCTCTTAACATATGGCTTAACTCTGACCATAACTTTTGACATCTCTTTGACATCTGACAACGTTAGTTTGTGCATTTGGGTTGAAGATGATTTCCAAGTCTGATTTTAATCACCCTCCTGCCCACTCTTAATACTCATTGGGGTGCCTAGCTTGTCTTGCTCTCTACTTTCCTCAGTATTGTTTTATGTAATCTCAATGGCTTGTATCCCTATCTGGTTCTAGGCCAGGAATTAATGAGATGATTCTAGAATTGAGCTGAAAACTTGTAATCTGACCTGTACCTCTCAATTCCAAACAGCTAACTGAGTGTATGATTATACTTCAATTATTAGAAGACCCTGGATCAGACAGAAGACTGTGGAGGAGTGCTGAAAACGAAAAATCCCTATCTTTGTTTTGCATATTAACCAGCGGGTAGACTTTGGTAGCCTACACAGGTTTTTTTCTGTTTGGATGTTGCCCAGGATGGTATTCTCACTCTTCTTGCCCAGTCTCTCCCACTCTACATGTAGGCAAGGAATACTTAAACACAAAGAATGGTTAAACACGCATAGGGAAATGAGTTTATTGGGTGGTATTATTTGCATGTTGCCTCTTTTTGTAAAACTGTCAAATTATTGTCACTACTGGCTTGAACAAAAAAAAAATATTATAGAATCTGAAGGCTGTTACCTCAGAAGTCCTTTACTCTAAATCTCTAATTTTACAGATGGAGAAACACACACAAAGAATTGTTTTATGGAAAGAGCATACACTTTAAAGAAATTGGAACTTATATATTAGTTATAGGAATTTAGGGACATTACTCAGCCTCTTGAAGTCTCCTTGAAGTTGCCTTATGTATAAAATAGGAGACTAACAGATGAAGTATGCAAAGAACCGAAAATAATGGATGATATATAATCAATACTCAAAATAGCATCATTATTATTATAATTTTTATTATTTTATATATAATTTATATATTATTATATATATATTATTTTATATATTTTTATTATAATATAAATTATGTTATAATTTTTGTTAATATCAATAAGGACATTTCAGTGAAGCTGTTGCCATTTGGTTTTGCATGCCTTCTCTTTGTAATACAGAATTTTTTTTTCTCCCATGGAACTATAGAACAAGATAGATTTCTAGAAAAAGGAGAGTTGGCAAAGCAAGAGTTAGCAAAAGAAAAAGAGTCCATTCACTCAAAATTGGGGAGCTGAAAAGATCTATTCTCTAGAAAAGTGAGGATAGGAACCTAAAGAGATCATTCATTTATTCCACAAACATCTGCTGAACATCCGTATCAGGCACTGTGGATATAGAGATCTTACAGCTTCTAAAGGAATTCACAAATGAGTAAGGGGAAAGATTCTGTAAGCAGTGAAATGATAATACACTGTGGGTAAAGGTTAGTATAGAGACATGCACAGAAACCTCTTAGGTCACAGAAAAATGGGTCTTCCTTGAGAAATGAGGTGTGAAAGTGCAGAAAAGATGGAGTTTGGGAGGAGCTTGAAAACCCAGCCTATACTAAAAAACACTGAGTGAAAAATAGATATAGAATCTAAGTTTGTCCTTGAGCCTGTGGCAAAGTGCCCACATCAGGAGTTGACTAACAGAAAAAATAACAGGTGAATATCTAATAACGGAAGGTAACATTTATGTTGTACTTGATGCTATATGCTTGGCACTGGACCAGGAGCTTTCAAATATATAATCTTTAACTTCATTGTATGTATGACACTGGTATGATTACCTACCTATATTTAATTTCTTTGTAAAAGCCCTAAAACCTATAATAAATAGTTCAGTTATAAGAAATGACTGACTTAATAGGTAATCAATATCTGTGAAGAGAGGGAGCAAAAAATAATGAAAACTGCATATTTTAGGCCAGTGATTCTCAGTGAAGCCCCTAGACTCAGCAACATCAGCATCACCTAAGAACTTGTTAAAAATGCAGATTATCTGACCCTAACCCAGGCTTACAGAATCAGAAATGCTGGGGGTGGGACTAGCAACCTGTGTTGCAAGAAGCCCTCCAGGTGATTGATAACCTGCTTTACGCCAGGGTTCGGCAAAACGTCTAGTCTGTGGACCGAATGTGGTCCACAGCCTGTTTTTGCAAATAAAATTATATTGAAACACAGTCATACTTATTTATTATTGTCTATGGCTGCTTTTGTGCTACCATGGCAGAGTTGAGTAGGTGAAACAAGTGACCTTATGGCCTGCGAAACCAAGGATTTATTACTATTTGGCCCTTTATAGAAAACGTTTGCTGACTCCTGCTTTAGGCCTTCAGCACTAGAAAGATGTCTAAACTCTGATTGTAAGAGCAGATATTTGCTAACTGAATTGAAGACGATGAAGAAAAATGAGGAATTTTCCTAGTTTTAAAATCCTCAACCTGCTCTCTTTCCCTTTCAGTCAAGGATACTACCTAAATGGGCCTTTTATGTCAAATCTACTGACACTCCCGAAGCAAAGGTCATCTTCTGTGTCACTAACTCACCATATAGGTCCAAGAAGAGCTGGTAAGAAATCATTATTTATGATTTAAATGTGGGAAGTTTCAAAGTATATGGTAGTGCAAAATTTTTAAAATTACATATTGATAGCTGATTTTGAATACTATTCTATGTGTTCTAAGTTAACATGACTAAGCAATTTGGGTTGGCTATTAGTTGATCGTTTGCTCGTTCATTCAGTAAACACTTTTTGGACATCAGCATACCAGGGACTTTGTTAAGACACTAGGGACTGAGGGAAAAATATATAGCACTATTTAACCTTACTAGTTGCAGATCCAGATTCACATATCCAGAACAAGGGAAAATCCCAAAAAAACGAGTCTTTTTCTGTAGCATGGAAATTGTGAAGAAAAAATAAATCTTAATATGAGAGTAGGAAAAATCCTGACTATATCCTACTCGGTCTACTTATTTATTTATTTGAGGTATAATTGACATATAACATTATATTAATTTCAGGTATCTGATCTAACATTTCATATATATTGCAAAACGAACACTACAATAAGTCTAACATCTGTCACTATACATAGTTATAAATTTTTTTATTGTGATGAGAATTCTTAAGATCTCTCTTAGCAACTTTCAAATATGCAATACAATATTATTAACTATAGTCACCATGCTGTACATTATATCCCCAGGACTTATTTACTTTATAACTGGAAATTTGTACCTTTTGGCTCCACCCATTTTGCTTTGAAGCTTTTTGAATGAAATATATTTTACAGATACAATATAATAATAACAGAACAACCTGATATTCTGGTTTTAAACTAAATTATGTATGGTATTAGGCAATAGGATATACAGTCACAAAATTCTTTCATACACAATGTTTTGCATAAAATAAAAACTATGAAATGTGGCGTGTCAGGAAAATGTTATTGATAAGCAAGAAAAGCAGGCACAGGGAGATCTACAGGTAATATTGATGTTGGATTTAACAAAGTCTTTAAAATAATAATGATATTTTAAAAGAAACAGAAGGAAGGATGGAGAAAATGGGTGGGTAATTTTAACAGATAACTGGAACACATAGAAAAGAAACAGTGGACATTGAGAAATGCAATTAATTACATTAAAAGCTTACAGGATAGTTTAAGAACAGACTAGATACAACAGAAAGCAAGGGTAGTAAACCTGAAGACAAAGAAATAGAAACTATCCAAACTGAAACACAGAGAGGGAAGAAAATAGGAGACTTTTGGTTTCTCGTTTTGCATATAAGGACCCTGGAAGTCACTACTCGTCCTAATGAGTAAAAGGCTGAACATGAACAGACTGAAAAATCAACAACTTTTCTAGGATCTGTAAGAAACGTGAGGGTGAGGACACAGGACAAACCACAGCCCCCAAGAAGGGAGACACAGATAGGCAAATACAGGGAGGACTGGCTTAGCAGAGCAGATTCACAAGGCAGAAACCTTAGTGAGAACCAGTGCCTGAAACCAGTGCTGGGGTAGGATCAACTGAACTGTAACTAGCAAATTGCCAGAGGATCAGTGCGGACAACTCTGAGAGTTAAAAACTCCGGAGGAACCCAGTCCTAGGGGAGTCCCCACAATTTTGTGAAATTTACCTACAAGAGCCTGACCAGGTTCCCACAGTAAATATCAGAGAAAATACGTCTGCCAGGGGGTGGGGAAAAGGAACCATTTTGAAAAACGCCAGAGCACTCCGTTCTTCTTAACAAGGCCTGCCCTTAGGAAAAGCTAGTTAACCAGAGCCTGACCTCCAGTCAGCTCTAGCTATCCTCTCCCACCAGAGGGAGGGAAGAAAAAAAAGAAAAAAAGCCTGAGAAACACTTTCGAAGTTCATACTCTAGAGCAGCGGTTCTCAACCTTCCTAGTGCCGCGACCCCTT